TAATATGTGTACAGTGTGTATTTTAGTAAACAGTGGCGTATATATCTTACACGTGTGTATATTTATAACGCTGAGATTTTTGAAGTACAATTCCGATACGCGTTAAATGTATTTATATATATGTATAAGGACATCAACTATTTTTGTTACAAAATACACTCAGATATAACACACATGTCCAAAATAAGAACATAAAAGGATATAATAAGACATAACAAGACGTCTTTTGATATAATAGTTACAAGATATTTTAAGGGAATCCTAAAGTAAAATCAAATTTCGAACGAAATCGCTATTTTATCGATTTAACAGAACTTACAATATATATACGATTTACATATGACCATCACATTACTGCATATTTTTTTTATAACTACGCATTTTTTTATAAAGGCAAATGCATTTTTAGGGAATGCAGTACCCCTTTGAAGAAAATTGATTATTTCCTTTCGAAGTGAGAGAATATCATCAGTCGAAACTGTACAAAATAGAAAAAAATGTTCTCAATAAAAATTGAATAGTTTGGAAAGTACTTTATAATAATAGTTTTTAAAAATTTGTTTAAATAAAAAAAATTTGTTTTTTCATTATAATTATTAAGTAGTCTTAAAACCATTCAACTTTTAAACATTTTTTTCTATCTCTTACAGTTTTCGATAATATTCACTTAAAAAAAAATGACCGATTTTTTTTCAAAAGGGACGTTATACCCTCTAATAAAATAAGCAACGTCGTTCCCCTGTGATTGACCCTTTATAAAAAAATATGTGCCCTTTATTTTTATCTTGAAAATAATATACAAAATCGGAGGAGGACGTTTTTACAGCTTTCCTTGTAAGATATTAAATTTGTAAGAAATTTTCAATAATTTCAATAATAATCATGAGCTTTGTATTTTTATCGCTACTGTTACTCCATTCTTTGTTTCGATGTTGGAAATCAGAGATACTTATTTCATTCATTATATGAGAGATATTTCATTCATTATAATTTCGCAAAAACGACATCAGCCATTCTGAGAGAATTTTCGCAGAAATCATTATAAGAGACTAAACTGAAGATACTTTAAAAGGATATTAAATTGAATTACCTGCACACTAAACGTTACGTCAAGATATATACCGTAAAAAATATAATTATGTAAAATAAAATTAAAACTGATATATTTATCGTTTTATTCCACGTTATATTCTTTTTATACAGAATAGTATCAAAGCAGTCCATTTGATTGTCGACCTTGAAATGGCAGTCGTTTTATTATTTATATCATCGCGCACGCGAGTTAAATACAACAAATAAACATTTATAATTGTTTCATAATAAACATTCTTAAATAAACATTATATTCATTATTAAAATCGTTATAGTTATGAATTTAATTAATCATTGATATTTTTCAATTACTATCAATCGCAAAATTTAATTAAGGCTTCTATCCCTTATTAACAATATTAATATCCCTTATTATAATATTAACAATAATCACATTAAACTATAATATCAATAATAAAAAATTATATAAAATATATAATTTTTTCTTTGCAATATACATATAATACATTTACGTAAAATTAATTTTTTCTTCATATGATAATAGATAACATAGTTACATTATTATTTGATAAAAGTGCAATGTGTATTAATATGAACATTCTAATATATACATAACACGCGCGCACGCTTATATATAAATATTATGTAACATATCAGATGTTACGTATATATAATTTTGATTTTATTTATAATATAATTAACAATTAATCCTTTAAATTTGGTTCTTTGTCCTTTCGATTTTGTAGTAATCTAACCTTTATAAAAGATGATTCTTTTTAATTTCTTTGGTTTAAGAAAATAATGTTAATATATGCTAATAAATATTCTAAAAAAAAAACTGAAGCCAGTCTAAACCCGAAATCGACTTCCTCGTTTCTAAAGGTTAAATGTACACGAGAAATATGTCTCGAATATTTACAAATTATAAAAGGGATCAAGAATATCTTCGAATTATGTAAATGATTAATTCGGCATTGATAGATTGACACATTGATGGATTATTATAACAAATACTTCGTGAACGCACCACTGTGTATATAAGCTTGCATAATCGGATATTCAAGAAAGAATGACGTGACGTATATTTTCCTCGCTAATTAACATATTATCAAGTACACGATCTATTATGTACTACATGTAGTAAATCTATTTCGTTCACTATTATATGCAGCCAATTCGCTGCATCAATTGTATATTTACATACATATATGTAATTCAACACATAATTTTTTTTGTAATTACTTTTACAATTAATTTCTTATCATTAATAAATACGAGTGTGCATTCATTGCACGTGAAGTTGCACACTTGTTTATTCGGGACAATGTTGCTAATTTATGCGTTGCATCACAAGTGTTGGAAATGACGACCTGTTGCTTGTCTGTGCACACGTATAAAGTAACCGAAGTGAGAAAATGTTTAAGCTCGTGTTCGCCGTATCTTGACGGCGTAACACGTGCATTTATGACCCTAATCTTTTTGCTCGTGCGATGGAATAGCTTATATAATAGGATCAAAGCTATAACGGTCTGACCCTCAATAAACTTCTTCGTTATGACCAAACCATGAAAAAGACTGTAAATAAATATATAAAATTATACGGCAACTTCTACCTGCAGTGAGTTGTGGTCAGATGTTTAAATTTTCATTTTAACTCACTGCGTTGATTGATTATTTCTTTGGCAGAGTGCTCGTTGCAGAGACATATAATATTTTTGTCACGAAGAGAAGGACCGGCAGAGTGTGGACGATCTTGAATAAACAATCGATGCAACTACAGATGTATAATGTTACAATGTGCCGTGAAAAAAGGATCAAGCACATTGTTAGGACGCCATGCGGGGACACATTCTCGGGCACAAGACAGTTATAGATCAAGGCTAGCGGTGTGATTTCATTCGATTTACAATCTGCATGCGCTCGAGGTCTTCTCTCCGGAATCGCGGCGCAGTGATTTATTTCTCCCCGCCAACTTCGGTAAAATGTCTAGATTGTCTCCGCGAAAATCCATCTAATTGATTCAACACATCGAATTAATTTACTATCTCGGAAATATTTATCTTGCACGACACTTCTCTGTCGAGATACGTCACCGGCAATAAACAATCGGCGCTTTGGCGTTGCGTCTGGTATCCGCTGCGTATCTGGCAGAGTGCCTATTCCGTGAACTCTTGAGTATCTCGTGTTCGACAGAATGAAGCGCGCTATAATGTCAGCAAACAATATCTCTTTCTCTCGGGAACAGCTTGAGAAATGATCCAAAGGACGAGAGCATGGTGATATAAAATGCTACTCGAGATACGCGTCGTGTAAATAAAATGTCCGCGATTATTAATTCGAGAAGATAAAAACCGGAGAAATTAGAGAGAGAGAGAGAGACAGAGAGAGACAGATTGCTCACTAATTATACTTCCGAGTAGAGCTCTTGGTAAGAGAATTAAATTAATATCTCTGCACGATAATCACAAATTATATATAGTAACATAAAACATCGTGTAATCGTAAATATTAATACATGAGTGCATTAATATTACTGTATTATCGCACCAGTGCATTAACACTCACAATGTTTAATAAATGATAATTACTGAAAGTCTAGGAAGTGTTATAGAAATTGAACATATACTTTGTCGATTATCGCTGTTAAGTGAAGAGGATGCGCGCGTTATACAGTTGATTGAAGTATGTGCTGTAGCATCGATGACGCAGATTACACTAACGTGAAATGCCATTCAGTATACAGTCACATAGTGTGTCCTATTTTAATCGATCTGCGTGAATATTATTAATATATTATTAGTATCATCAAAAATATTCTAAATAAAAATCAAAGCATTTCAAGCGAAACATTACGTAACAGACATGATTTTTCCATAACGTTTCAGACATTAAAAATTTCAATAAATTAAAATTATAATTTCCATAAAATTCAGACGGATTATTGTAAAAATAATTATCAAAAACAGATTATCCTTCTGTTAATTCACTTATATCGACGATTAAAACAATAAAAGTTCCTATATATATTTTTGTATAAATTTTGTTATCAAAAGCTATTTCTTTCTAGTGACAGTTTTATATAAACTTTATCTCATTTTCAGTTTTATATTTTTTGCAAAAATCTTGTGAAACATAATAGTGAATAAAAAATTATGCATTGATAAAAGGGTTAAGATTATACTTACAAAACATATGTAGTTTTATTAAAAAGATAG